GGAGGATAATAAAGTAAAGCCATTTATTAATTATTAATTTCAACCGGATCGTCACCACTTTTGCTTCAAATTAATCTTTAAATAATAAAAATCAGATGTCTATTAATTGTGCCAAATAAACTAAAAAGCTGAAAGAGAGAGATAAGCCGTGGGAACGGGAGTTCATCAGATCAGACCGTACGCTGACAGAGAAAAAGTTCCCATCCGAAATGGTGGCCCAGTCTTCCCTTCTTCATCGGAGCAAAATTCCAAATGGCTTTGAAAATTTTGTAAGCGCAACCCACGGATGGGGATTGGCACTGGCAGCTACTCCTACGCAACGGTATTTTTGAAATTTTTTTATTCAATAATTTCTTCCTGTTCTCTTTTTCTTAAGTAATTTACAGCACCTTCCGTTTTCTTATGGTGAAATGTCGGCTTTTATTCATCTCTCTCTCTAATTAAGTAATGGGGACGAGAGAGGAAGTTTGACGGCGACAAAAAGAGTAAAAAACGATAGATATTGATATTATAATCTATATCGATTCAAGATTAAAGAAATTGAACCGATTTAGGAATCAGGTGGGGATCGTGTGGAATTTTGGGTATTTGAGCCGACTACAGAGCCTAATGCACCAATCACTGCCCTCCACCTGTGTCCCAGTGGCTGCTGTCGCCGACGTTGAGAAATAGAAAGTAGAAACCACACTCCTTGTCGGTGTTTTCTTGAGTCAAATCTCTAAAGTGGGTGCGGGAATGAATTCAAGGGAGGCTTCATCCGAACATATTTGTTGGCGCTGGTAGGAACTTCCCATCAATTTCTCTTCTTCCTATATAACGCTGATTTTTTTGAAGAAAGCTGCATATCCAGTTTTAGGTCACATTTCCTTTTCTCTCTCCATTGTACTCCTAAATACCCTGTCATCCATATAATTGATTACCCAATTCGGTTCCATTGTCATGGCGCTTGGAGAGTTGGAGAGGAAGTTTGAAGAGTTGAAAGATATCAATGAGAAGCAAGAATCAAGGGTGCGTTACTATGAGACCAAAGTCCAGAACATCGTTTTTGGCTACCTCATTTTCACACGCTTGTTCTTCTTTGGTATCTCTCAGACTTCTTCCTCCTTCAACTGCAAGGATTGGTGGGTCATTCTGGCTTTAAGTCTTTTATGTTCCTTCATCTACTTTTTGCTTTTTCTGGATGCCGTGGCTATGTTATTCCGGACCCAGTACCAGCTAGACATAATCTGCAAGGAACTCAAGGAACTTTTCCAACAAATTTTGGTTTCCAAAAACCAAGATGATGTGGGTCTGTCAATGGAGACTGGAGAATCTAGTGGTGGATTTGAATTCGGTTTCCATGAGAAGATGCTTATGCTTGATCATTTTAGAATTGTCGGGAGGAAAGTTTACATCTACTTCACTGTATCTGCTTTGCTTGCTGTTACTGCTATTGAATTATATGTCTCCAAGTACGTGTTGTGCAACTGAAATGGACATGGTTTTGGTCCTGTGTTGGTGGAGTTGTACATAGAGTTCAGCTTTGAAGTGTAGTGGGTGTGAAATCTCCGTGCGAGAGAATAGTGTACAAAGAAATAAAATTATTGTAGGGAACCGGGCCAAAATTGAAAGGAGGTTTTACGATATAAATTATATTTGGTACCTTGTTCAGATGATCCTCTCCTTTTGTTTGTTGTCCACTTATATTTTTTCATTTTTCTTAATGAAAATTTGGCTTTTCCATTAAAACAAGAGTTCTTGGATTTGTTTCTGCCACACAGAGTCGGAATATACACATATATAGTGGCTGAAAGGCCACTATTAAAAAAATATAAAAAATAATATACAGGGGAATCTAATCGTTCTCAACAATTATTCTCAAATTTAATGTCAACGGCTAAAGTCTAAAGATCTTGGTGGAAGAGAGTCCCAATTGAAAGAACTACCCTTAACTGCAATCCAGATTATGCCATTCTACAAAACTTAGCTTGGTCAATGCTCTCTGATTTAATCAATATGGTCATCTAGAGACATTGTTAGGGCCTCTCTCAAATTGGCTGTTGATGGAGGCATTCTCATCCTTGGGAAAGATATGCTCATGCCTACATAGTAACTGATCTTGTGATAGGAGCCAAAATGCCTATCGATGCAGACTGCCTTGACAATATAAAGAAAAAAAGCCAAAACAATAGGAAAACAGCAAGAACAAGTCCCTAGCTCTTATAGAGGCCTGGTGCTCTCTTCCTTAGAAGAAAACTAAGCCAAAAACACAAATAAACCAATACCCATGCAAGGGCTCCAACCCAACGTCAAATACCCCTTCCCTACGTGGCCTATTGCCACGCTGTCCTATTACAAAAGCAGGTAGGGACCACCGTTCAGTGCACACCCGTTCCTCCACTGCCCCACATCTTGTCCCCTTTATTCCCAACATTATGCAGCGTCCTCCTTGTGTGCGTATGGTGAATTGGAGGCCTTAGGTGTCCATCATGTTGCTGATGGCTTTTCTTTTTGGCAAAGAGCATCTATGGTCCTTCATCTCAAAGAAACAGGAGGTGTTTTTAGTGGGAATTATAAGATTTATATTTGTTTAGATGATTGGATTTTGGTGGTGATTTAATGTTATTCATTTGGCTTGGGAGAGATCTATACAATCTAGACCAACTAGAAGCATGGAGCTCCTTGTTAGATTGATCATAAATATGATATGGCTCTTGTTAATTTCCCTCTCTGTAATGTGAAATTTACTTGGCCTATTCTAAGACAGGATTTTGCCCTTTTTTTCCAGGATCATTTTTTTTCTTTCCGAAGGTTGGATTTCTATGTTTCATAACTCCAGCCCCTTGCCACAAACTTAAGAGCATACAGATTCCTCCCTCATATATGATCTTCAAGACATCATTGGTAAAGAAGAGATTTCTCTGAGGCAGAAATGTGGACTAACGAGGGGGAGCAGTGCAAAATAGAGCAAATGAGGGAGCGCATATTGTTATGGAGAACCACTTCCTAACTATATTGCCAAAATGCAGGATATTATCTGTTGACGAAAGAGCACGATTGGAAGATCACAAATGCGTTCGTATATCTCGGAATTTTGTTGTTATGGAGAAAAGGAATACTGCATCTTCAACCACGAAGCGATTTCCTTTTAACACATTTGCTCTGGCTCTATCTTGGTGTAAGTGCTCTGCCTTATATAACTATAGATTAACTGCTATGTTGACTAAAAGAAGTGCAAAAGAGATTGATACTCTAGCTTCTTTCATCTCTTTTCATCGTGCAGAAAAAAAGACTCTTATTTCCTAAATCATGCTGACGGGTCGGTATAGCCAGTGACTGACAAAAATGTCGAGAAAACTTCCATTTCTTATTTCAACACTCTATTCTAAAGCTCCAAGAACTAGATTTATATCCCTTAATCCTGAGGTGCAGAATGCCTTTTTGGAGGCTAATTTAATTGGACTTGAAACCTACCAAGCCATCAAAAGCTTGTTCCAGACGATTTCATGGCCAAATTCTTTGAAAACTTACGTAACATCCTCAAAATCTAACATTTTGATATTGTTCCAGGTCTTTGTGACTCAATTTGGAGCTTTGAAAGTTGGAGAGGATAATGGCTCTCATTTTTCTTCCTCATCTCAATTTGGAGTCTTCTGTTCATGACTCGTGAATGAAGGTATGGAAGTGAATCCCGTGTTTTCGTCTTTTTCAAATTAGAAATCTGAAAAAATTGAAAACATATAAAACCAGAATCCTAGGTTTTTTGAATTTTCAAACTAATTTGTTAGATCCAGCTTATTTTTAGATCCACATTGGGATCATCTACCAAACAATCCAAAGTCCTGTGGTTCAGTTTTTCTTCAATTTTACCTTGGTTGCTATAAGATTCAAATTGCTTATAGATCAAATTTTCTTATTCTGCTTTCTAACTTCGTCTTTTTTTGTTTAGGAAAAAAAAAAGGAAGGGAGAAGATAAAAAGAAGTAATAGGCAAAATGGAGATGATCCCAAAGGAAGTTCCCCAGTTGGTCTCACTCACCCTCAATTTGCAGAACGTGCTACAAGTCTGAGGAGTTCTTACTCATTTGCCGCCTCTTCCTTCATTTTCCTTTGCCTGGAATGGTGGTACCATCTTTTTCAGATCTTTAATGTTTCGGTATCTATACCAAACTGCATAAATTGATGAATTTTTTAAGGTTTGTTGGGTATGAGGTATAAAAACAAAGCGAAAGTGCTGTGGAACTGTTTTTTTTGGGATATTTTGTGATTGATATGGAAAGAAAGGAACAGACGAGTTTTTTAAGATTTAGATTCTTTTTCTGCTGAGGATTTTTTTGTGGCGCAATGTACATCATATATGTCTTCGTGATATTATATCATTATCTGTATTAGTGATATTTTGTTGATATTTTTCTATATTTTGTCAAATTTTTATAATACTATGAAAATTTCGCTTTACCCTTCACATTGATGTCGAAGCTATATGGACACATGGGAATGTTCATGAAAATTTAATACTCTTACTGTTGGCAAGGACTTGAGGTCTCGTGGTTTTAGATGTCTCAAATTTTGAGCCTTAAGGTGAGTTTAATGCAAAAAAATTCTTGATGTTTTTTGGTCCGAGTCTTGGGACAGGCACAGGTACTCCCAGATATAGGGAAAGAAAGCTCCGACTTTCGGGTTATCAAGGAAAAAAAAAAGAAAAAAAGGTATATTATATGAGAAAACTTGCCTCTTGACCTTCTCTAGGGTTCTTGGGAAAAGTTGTGAGATGCAGTTCACTTCAATCCTTGATTCTGTGACACTGTGATTGTTCTTTGTTTATTATGATTGCTGGTTCTAGCTAGGAGCCCTTTCTTATGTAATAGTTTTTTTTCTTCAGATTTTTGAAGTTTAGTGATGGAATTGGAGTCATGACCGAAAATCGAGATTCAGCCAACTCGAAGATATTTTGTATTTTTTAATGGAATTTTGTAAATCTCAATAGTGGAATGTTTGTTTACTTAAAAAAATGTTTAGAATATTGTCGAATATGTTTTAACTTTTTAGGCAACATCTTAACTCCAAAAGAAGACGTTATGTGATCATCTTTGTAAACGTTGTACGAGTATATATTAAGTTTGTTGCAAGCAAGTTTGAGACCATAACAATTTCACGTTTTTTTTTTTCAAATCAATGAGGTAGTCGTTGGAAAAAAAAAGACATGGAACCGAACCGACCCATTTTTGTTTGATTAGATTTTCATCCCGCTTAATCGGACCCATTTCGATTTATCCTTCCCTAGAAAATTGAACCGAACCAAAAAAATTTCATACTTGTCAACATAGTTTTATAGATCTTTGAAGTTTTATTCTGTATGTATTAGTTTTCTAAACTCATAAAAGTATTTTGTGTCCAATAAATTTTTTAAATTTCAATTTTATGTCCAATAAAATTTTTAAATTTTAATTTTGTGTCTAATAATCATGGACCTATTCAATATTTTTTAAAATACATAGAACTATTGCTATAGATACAAAATTTTAAGTTTAGGATTCTATTAGAAGAAAATTTAGTTTTATGTCTAATAGATTTGTCTATTTTGAAGAATATTGAATATGTTAGGGATTTAATAGATACAAAATTGAAAATTTAGAGACGTATAAGATACTTTCAAAAGCTAAAATTGAAAGTTCAGTAACTTATTAATGTGACGCCGAGTAGGGAGGAGGGGTTGAATCGATACCATCATGGAAGAATGGTCAAGGCGAAAGGCTTAAAAATTTTAAGTTGACATTATCATAAAATTGAGAACTCGACATTTTCATATCTACGTCCACATTTTAATCAAAATTTGGTCATCTATCTCCCGTGAGTTTGAACCTTCGTCTCTCACTTCTATATATTGTTGTATAAATAAATAAATAAAAGGGAAAAAACCTGTACACACGGCTCAATTTCCGATTCCAAACGGCAACAGGTATCTTTGAAAAAAAATTGAACGCGAAAGCCATGGATGATTATTCTTGATCAAGCTTCGTCATGCAATCAACACATGGAGACGGAACTTCATTTGCAGGAACTCCAACCGGTATGTTTGAAAATTTGATTCAACAATCAATAATATATTCATATTTCCTTTCGTCCACTAATTTACCGCATGTGTCTTGTTTTTTGATCGTCGCCATTGACGGCACTACACTAGGGCTTTACGAATCGAATAGGATAGAAATTGACACTATAATCGATTTTGAGATTAAAGAAATTGGATTGGATGCATTCAAGAATCAGGTGGGGCTCGTGTGGATGTGGAATATCTGGGTTGACATTAGGGCACAGTGCCCCAATCCCTGTTCTCCACCTGTGTCAAAATGGCTACGTAGCCGACTTTAAGAAATAGAAAGTAGAAACCACGGTCAATGCTCCAAATTGGGTGCGGTAACGGGAAGCTTCCTCCATCTAATTCCTTTGCCTTCCGCTTTTCGGCTCTGTCAACGACTGCCCCACGAAACAACCACCGAACATGTTTGCAGGAAATTCCTGTCAATTTCTCTTCGAAGATACCTATATAAGGATGAACTTTAGAAGGAGAGGGGCATATCCAGTTTTAGATCATTTCTTCCAAAAGGTACACTTCCCTTTCTCTCTCGATTGCGCTTCTAAATACCCTTTTTGCCGATCTAGTTGACAACCCACAATTGGGTTCTATTGTTATGGCGGTTGGAGAGTTGAGGAGGAAGTTTGGGGAGCTGAAAGATATTAATGAGAAGCAAGAATCAAGGGTGCGTTACCATGAGGCCAAATTCCAGAAAATCGTTTCTGGATACCTCATTTTAACACGCTTGTTCTTCTTTGGCATCTCCCAGACTTCTTCCTCCAAGTGCCACGATTGGTGGGTCATTCTGTCTTTAAGTCTTTTGTGTAGCTTTGTCTACTTTTTGCTTTTCCTGGATGCTGCCACTAGACTGTATCAGACCAAGGGCCAACTAGACATGATCTGCAAGGAACTAATTGAAGTTTGCCAACAAATTTTGGTAGCCCAAAACCAAGATGATGTGGATCTAGCAATGGAGGGTGGGGATTTTAGTGATGGATTTGAATTCGGTTTCCATGAGAAGATGCTCGTGCTTGACCACTTTAGATTTGTTGGGAGGAAAGTTTACATCTACTTCACTGTCTGTGCTTTGGTTGCTGTGACTGCTATTGAGTTATATGTTTCCAAGTATTTGTTGTGCAACTGAAATAGACATCGTTTTGGCTCTGTGTTGGTAAAGTCGTAGATAGAATTTAGCTTTCAAGTGTAATGGGCGTAAAATCTTCGTGCAAGAGACTAGTGCAGGAAGAAATAGAAGTATTCAAGGTAACTGGGCCGAAATTGAAGGAGGTTTTACGTTTATGTTATAAATAAATGAAGCCCTTTTATAAATTTTTCTGGGTTCCCTTGTTCAGCTCCTTTCCTCCTTTTCTGTGCTTCCCGCTTGTATTCTTTCATTTGTCTTAATGAAAAAGAGTTCTTAGATTTGTTTCTGATGCATAGATTTGGACTAGATGGCTGAAAATGGCTGCTGTAGAAAAATAAAAAACAGGGGCACCTAATCACTCTTAGCCATTGACATTACATTTAAGAATAATCGTTAAGGAGCTTAGTGGAAGAGAGTCCTAATTAAAAGCACTATTCTGAAACTCCATCCAGACCGTGCCATTTTGCGAGAAAAAGGGGGAAAAAACTTACCTTGGTCCAACTCAAATAGTTAAGAATCCTCGGTTTCGGTTGGATTACAATTTATGCAAACTGAGCGGTTCGGTTCACGGATTTGACAAAATAAAATTCGGTTCAACTCGAACCGAACCGACATTATGTGTATATATATGTTGTTTAGTTTTTAGGGTTTCAGAATGTTGTACCTCACTCAATCTCAGTTTTCTCCCATCTCTCTCAAATCTCACCTCAGTTTTCTCCCATAATCTCAATCTCCCGTCTCCCCCGCCGTTCCCATCGCTTCCGTTCCCGTTGAATCTCAATTTCCTCCCTCAATCTTTCGTTTCCCCGTATCTTGTCGCTTCCCGTCGCAGAAGCAACCGGTCACCGGTAGCCGCGGGCTGTTGCCCCTCGCTCCCGTCTTCCGTCTCTCCGTTTGCTTAATGCCCTTGCTTTTAGGGATTTTGTGGTTGTTTAATTGATTTCATGTTCTGCTTCCAACAAAAATCTTGCCCTTCAATTTTATGGGATTTATAGGCATTTTAAGAAGGCCCTTTTTGAAGCATATGTGTTTTCCCAGGGAGGAAGACAAATTATTAATTCATACCATCTTAAAAGGTTAATGATTGGTGGAAAAAAAAAACAGAAAAAAAGAAGGATCGGTTGTTGAACTAGATTTTGAAAATGCCTTTCACAGAGTTGATTGGTGTTTCTTGAATGCCACCATGTTCTTTGCAGTTTTGTGAGATTTTAGCCACTTTAGGTTGCATTAGAGGACATTTTCTTATGGTGTTGAGGGGTCTCCCATTCTTGGGATGGATTCATTTCTATCGTTTGTTGTTGAATGCTGGAATGACGAGCAAAGCGATTGGAACTTGAATTTTATAGAAGAGGTTTGGTTTTATAGACCATGAATTGAGTAGTTTGCTTTCCTTAATGGAAAAGTTGAGTTCTTTTCAAAATTTATTGAGTCCTAGAAAATGGGAAGCAGTTTTCAACCAATTCTACCTTCCTCAAGCTTGATCGAAACTCCCTCAAAATTAAAAGCTCCTCTCATTAAACAGATTTGGAACTTTGCCTTCCTAAAACCAAGTGAAGGGTCTTCTTGGGTCAAATATGATATTTGATTCCATATCACGTGAGGTATCGTAAAATATGGATGATATATTAAATATGTTAATAAAATATCACTAATGTAAAGATTCTTAACTTATTTGAATGGTATAAATGGTAGTGAGCCACAACTGATGTTTAACCGATCAGATCGAAAAATTTTCTAAAAATGTGTTTGGAATTTGATTTTTTGTACATTTTAACCGAAAATCTGCCTTTCAAATTAAACAAATTAGACTGAAATTCGATTTCAAAATCTTAATTTAGTTTTTTCGAAATATTTTAAAATTCATAAATTTGATTAGTCCTTAACTGAAAATCAATTCAAGTTTCAAATCTCTTTATTTTGAAATATATTTTTTTTTCTCTTTTTCCAATTAGGTATGGTTTAATTTCAAATCTTGTAAAATCAGATCTATTTGAAATAAACGTTAGAGATTTCTTCAAGATTATCGGAGAGACACTAATGCGATATAGAGGACTAACTTTCTTCTTATTTTATTTTTCTCTCCCTTATCTATGCTATGCTGTTAACTTTTATTATGTGTTTTATTTGGTTAATTATGACTCGTTTTGGTAACGTGTATTTTTTGTTTGGAACATTTTCAAAATTATATACATGTTTTTAACCTTGTTTCTAAAACAAAGACCTTCTAGATTTTCAAGAAAATTGATTTGTTGATTTCCAGATGTTTATAATTTTTAACTGAAAATCTACCTTTTAAATAAAAATAATAATAATTTGAAATCTGATTTCAAATTCTTAATTTATCTTTTTTTTAATATTTTAAAATTAACAATTTTTATTAAATCTTGACTGAAAATCAATTCAAATTTCAAATTCCATTATATTTAAAACTGATTTTTCTCTTTTTCCAATTAGTTATGGTTTAATTTTAAATCGTGCCAAATCCAACCCATTTGAAATATAAACTTTTTAGATTAAAATCTTTCTGATTTCAATTTCTTTTTTTTTCTCTTTCAAACCAAATGTGTATGATTTCAAATAATCAAAATCAAAACCCTTGCAAATCGGAGTTCAAATAAAAGGTTAAAGATTATATCCCAATCTATCATAAAATTAAACTCAAATAAAATAAATAAATAAGATTGGAGTTGGAACTATTTTATTTTTAATAAAAGAAAGTGTTTAATTTATGTTGTGTAGTGTTGTTCATGGGACTGGGATGATTTACCATTTCAGCAGTACGTAGTTTCTTGATTTCTGATTCTCCATATGTATATATTTGTATCTTTCTCTATCTAAACAAGTTATGATTGCGATATAGGGGAAAATGTTAGAAATTGATAATATAATCGATCAAAGATTAAAGAAATTGAATCCATTTAGGAATCAGGTGGTGGATGTGGAATTTTTGGAGATGGTTGAAGATATTAAGAAATCAATCAAAGAGATTCGCCATAAAAGTATGGTATTGAAGTGCAAGAAGAAGTAGAATTGAAAAATGCTTTATTGATTTGATATTAAATGCAATTTTTCAAACAAGGTTATTAATAGAGGTGTTCATAAGAATGAAAAATCAACTTGGAGAATTACATATATAAAAATAGGTAAAATACACCTTTGGTCTTGAAGTGTGAGGTATTTGGTCTTTGAAGTCTCGCAATCAACATTTTTTGTCTCTGAAGTTTACTCATTTAGTACCTGAAGTTTGGAGTAAGTGTTTATTTGATCTTTTTAGAATGTTGGAGTAGGTGACTAGATATTTTTGATCCTTGAAGTTTGAGAAATAGCCCTAAATGCAGTTATGATTGTATTTACAAGGATGATTGTATACGCTGTTTTAGCAAAATTTATTAATTTAATAATGTATTTGTTGGTGATTTAGGACTTTTTCACTCTTTTCCTTCTCTTCCCTTCTCCTCCTCCTCACCACCAACCACCAGTGTCTCTTTGCGGCCGTTGCCCCTGTTCTTACTAACGCTTGCTGCTTTGAACCGACTGCCACCTTCTTCCTCTTCCAGATTTGGAAGAGGAAACACGAAGAGGGGTTCTTCAAGTCTTCCACTTCCTTCCTCTTCCTTCGTGGAAGAGAGGGGCTCCTCTTCCAGATCCGGGAGAGGAAGTTCCTCTTTTAGATGAGGAAGAGGTGGCGACCGATTCAAGGGGATGGCGACGGGCGGAGAAAGGACTACCAATGGTGGCGGGGATTAGACGGCGGCAGTGGTGAGGTAATCGAAGAAGAGGAATAGGCAGAGGAGGAAAGAGAAAGAATGTCAATCATCCACAAATATATTATTAAATTAAATATATTTTGTCAAGTCACAATTGAATGGTCCGTTCAGGAATCATTTAAAACTATTTCTCAAACTTCATGGACAAAAAATGTCTATTTTAAAATTTCAGGAACCGAATAGATACCTACAGGGATCAAAATTGTATTTTACCCATAAAAATATATACAGTTTATAAGGTTAAACAAAGGCATTCATGATTATCCAAAAAAAAAAAGAGAAGAAATAATCAGAAGCAATTTGAAGATAGGGTGGGAGGCGTGCCTACTACCATGGTAGAACTTCAAGTAGTTTTGATGTTTATTCTCGAGGAATTCAACTAATAAATCGATTTTGGTGATTGATGCTGACACTGGAAATAAGGTTAAAAACAAGTCACTCTTATAAATATAAATACAAAAGAGATTCTTCTCCCTTTTGAATATGTGTTGATCCATTGGTTTATATGGACCAGATTTGAAACCACAAAGATAGCTAATCATAAGCAATTTAAACATATTCACACAAGGGAAGCATTAATGGCACATTAAATAAAATACCATTTAGAAACAGAATTGTGAGCCTCTTTTGAATTTATGTGTCACTTGATTTTGGACCTTATTTTAACCGTTACCATAAATGGATCTATTGATTCTCAAATTTAACAGAAAAATGTCATAACTTCCTGAAGTTGCAGTCGTCAAATTCCTTCTGACAAGGCATCTTTGTCATTTCTCCTTTATTATTATTGCTTAACTTCGTCAGAAACCGCGTGGTACAATATTTTTATGCATTCCTCTAAGATTATCTTTCATTCCTTTAACATCTCTTGAATAAGCTTGTTACAAAAGTTGCATCTAATATAATTATTGCAATTTTCATTTTCTATGTTCTTACATGCTTGATCTTTTTTAGCTCCTTAATTTAATGGTTCTTTTAACATTTCCAACCATCTCGATGATAAAACATAAGCGTTGGAAGGTTTAGGAAATTTTTTTTTTAAAAATATCGATGTAATAAAAGAGGGAAAAAATAAAGAAAGTGGTAAACTCTTAATAAAGTTTGTAGCTCTTATAAGTGAGGTGTCGTTGTTATAGGAGCACCCTTTGACAGATTTTACCTATATGAGTGTGAGAGTGTAACCGCTCTATAAGGATATAGGGCTTATCCTAAAAAAAACATTCACGAAATATTGGGATCAGCCCCATGCCTTAAAGTGCTAACTATTAAAACTCATATCTAACACCGGATGATTACATGTGATAATAATTATTTATTTCCTCTTTAGCATTATATTAGAGTTCAAGTCGGAGACAACTACTAATACTGAAGTAGAGATTATTATTAGACTAGTAAAGGTTCAATGCATAGTCATACCTTTATGATGCATAATTGTCCTTCTTTTGGCCGATTGATTTTGATTATTTTAAATATTAAAATGATTGGAGGAATGTTGTAACATTTAATATTTAATTATTAAATAGGAGTTTTCCTTCTGTATTTATCGAAGAGTTTATCAAATTGGATTTGCAAACGTATTTGACGAGAGGTTAAGGATTACTTTATTTAATTTCATATTAAGTTACTAGCTACTTCTTAAATTCCTATAAATACCTCTCATTTCAACAACTAATACAACCCACACAAGTTTCTCTATTTTCTTTTTTTAAAGAGCAATTGCCAAACGAGAGGTGTTCTTTGTTGTGGAGCTTTGAGCTCAACCCTCTAGTTGCAGAGTGGTTTCAGTTGGGTTGTTGTATTCTAGAGAGGATAGATTAGATTACATCGGTTGATAAAGAAATATACACCAAAGAAGGCTTGAACCTCAACCTAATACATGTTTATTTCTCAATATTTACTTTAACAACTTTCGTGATTGATTAAAGTTTTCTAAACTTGAATACATATCCAAAACAACTGTGTAGCGTGAGATAAGCAATAATAGGACAAAACCAAACAGAAAATTGATAGAAAGCGCAAGGCATGGAGTAATAAACAACGCGATCATTAGACATAGTCGTCGTTGAAGCAAAAGTCCATACAATAATATATAATTTGATTTGTCATTTGTTCCAAATAATCACCTTTTTTTTTTCATTTTTGATTGGAACTTTTTCATCATCTCTCTTTATGAAGTTATGGAGAGAGAGACAGAGACAGGTCTAGAAAGAAAAATAAGAATCGAAAGGGATGGAAATTGACAATGAAATCGATTCAATTTTAAGAACTTTGAATCGATTTAGCAATCTAATTTCTGAGTTGACATTCCGCCTGTGTCCAGGGGTGGATCCACGTAGATTTTTTTTTGTTTTTTTTGGGTCTGTTAAAATAAAATATAATTGAATTGTCTATTAAAAAAAAGGTCCGAATCGCCCTCTACGGCTCCTGTTTGAACTTTGAAGATACCCTATATAAGGTAAGCTAAGGTTGGCTTTGGTTGATGTTTTGAAAACTGCATGCCATTTCATTTTGGTTCCTTGTAATGGCGGTTGGAGGGCTGAAGAGGGCATATGAGGAGGTGAAAGATGTTAGTGAGAAGCTACAATCAAAGCTGCAACATTGTGGAAGCCAGTTCCAGAACTTCGCTACTGGCTATCTCCTTCTGGGACGCCTGTTTTTCTCTACCGTCTCTCAAAATTCTTCTTTAAACTGCCACCATTGGTGCCTCATTTTGGCTTTAACTCTTCTGTGTGCCTTGGTTTACTTTTTGCTTTTCCTGGACGCTCTCACTCTGCTCTATCAGACCCAGATTCAGATACACATGATTCTTAACAAATTTGATGAAATTGGCCACCAATTAATTTTGGAAGCCAAAGATGATGATGATGTTAATGTGGAGGCTGGAGAACAGTACTGTAGTGATGATTATGGATTTGAATTGGGTTTCTACCGGAAGATGCTCATGTTTGATCATCTTAGAATTGTTGGGATGAAAGTTTACATCTACATCACTGCCTCGGCTTTGCTTGCTGTTATGGCTATTGAATTATGTGTTTCCAAGTACTGGTTGTGCAGGGATCGGGGTGTGGGGGATTGAACCATCGTCAACTTTAAGGATCATACATATATAATAAGAATGTTTACCTATTTGAACTATGCTCGGATTGATAAGTAGTATATTGGGTGTAAAATATGAAAGGAGATTGTTTCTGGCCAGTTATTAACACAATTGGAGCCTTTTTTATTTATTTACTTTGTAATCTTTGTTTGGTTCTCGTGTTCACCTCCCCTTTTGTTGTGGGTTATTCTTATCTTGTAGTTTCGTTTGTCTTAATGAAAATTTGTCCTTTGAGTTAAAAATTAAATTTGTAGATTTAATTTGATTCTGCTGTTGGTTTATATATATGTTTGTGATCATGAATAATTAAAACCTCCATTAATTTCAACATTCATTGTAATTAAGGTCCTAGATTGTGATATTTGAGCTTTGAGCTTGAGTTCCGATACCATATCAATATCCGTGGAGTTCCATATCAAAATTGATTGACAATGAGATTATAAACATTTGTAAGGTACTTTTTGTAGGATCCTTAACAATTAATTACTATACTTAGAAAGTTTTATAGCTAATCATGAGATTACAAAGAGTTCATCCACCTGTCCCTTTCGTGGGATCCTTAATAATTAATTACTATACGTGAAAGTTTCATAATTAGTTCTACATAGCTAATTAGGAGATTACAAAGAGCTGGCCGTGGTCCAATTGGCATTGATCAAAGAGGTATTATAGTTAAAAGTTACTTTTGAAAGAGTGGTCAAAGCTACAAAAATAAGTTAATGTATCTAAAGTCCAAAGCTAAGATGATCGGTGGAATTTCAGATCTTTGGCTTTTCAAATAAGGTGAAGATTGGCTTATCAATGTGATACAGGAATATAACGAAGATAATTGTCATCGTCTATATACTGGATCACTCTTCTTTCCCTAACCAATGGAGGACTTTATCCGTATTCCTTACACACTCAAGAAGATATATAATCACGACCTAAATATTTTCCTTTCATAATTCTTTGTACCTTCTCGCGCTTGTCAGTACAGAAGCCTTGACACAGGGTATAGACTCTAAAAGAATTAGCTTCCAAACTTGATATGTTGTCTCCTTGAGTGTGCAGTCTTTGCTACGAGAACTATGAGTTATATATCTTCCAAAGTTTATATATATATATGGTGGGTTTTATTTATTTTGAATGAATTTGGTCTGGCTTTTTGTCTCCATGAAAGGGTACAATATTATGTTGGCTTTTGGAGACCATTGGTGGGACGTTATTTAAGAGGAAAAGCTAATTAAAGTTACAATTTTATGTTCCTTCGGGCTGATTCTTTGGCTTATATGGAATGACTTTTTGTCTATGTGAAGGGGTATATATATATATATGTGTTGGCTTTTGGATATCAATGGTGGGACCTTAAGCTAGAATTTTTTGGAATTGCGCGGTTTCGGAATAATTCTTTGCATAATAGAAAGCTCCCGCTCTATTCTCACAAATCTTAAAGAGAGAGAAAATTGATCTCTTGGAAAATTCCTCAAGAATACACCAGAGACTGCACAAGAGATATGTTCACTTTGGACATAACTTTAGTTGCTTTGTTTTTAGAATCACGCAAAATACTTCATACTTATGGAGATATTATCCCTCACATATATATATGATCGGATTTTCTCTTCTTAGCCAACGTGGAACTTTGTTACGCAGGATTTTGTGTGCACTTTTGACAAACCTAACGCATGTATGTAAGTAAATGGATCTCTAGCTTAAATTCTAATATCCTCCTTAAACTAGGCTTTCAAGACTCGAAACTTCTCCTTCTTCTTCAGGAAAGTCTCTCTTTTAATATTCTTGTGAATGTATCGGCTTGATTTTGTGTCTTGCAATACCTGATGCATACTTCCCCATCTTGATAAAATGATATTTAATGCTCTTATATGTCCTAATTTTATGAAAACCAGATTCTTTAAAAGTGAAATTGATGAGCTATTGTCACAAGATATGGCGGTTGATTTTTTGGAGAACTATCGCTTTTGAATGGGAGTGAAAGAGTGAGCTCCATGTAAGAAGCCTTTGGCAAATCAATAATTCAGGCATTAGTTTCCACTGCTGAGGGATATGTGAGTTGAAGAAGATCCAAATTCCTCATTTAGTTGGTTGTTTGATGAATCTTTTTTTAATCCTCGAGTGAAATCACCGTTTCTTTTGAAATTTGTTATAATCCACTTCTAAAAACACTTTGAAACCTTAGAAAAAAAGAAAAGCTAAAAGAAAAAGTTATTTTCATAACAAAATTGATAAAAGAAAATGTGCATGTGATTAGTTTCTACCAACATTTTTTTTTTAAGACAAGTATCTTTCTCATCCCTAGATTTTCAGCTGTATAGGTTCATTTGGTCCATACGTTTCAAAATCGTATATTCTTTACCTTAAGTTTTCAAAATCTGGTCTCTCTACGGACAGTTTACTAGACACCATGGTGGCGATGTGGCAACTTTCAGTTCTACAAACAAATCTATTAAGTCACGAATGATGATCAAGTTGTAGGGCGGCTGGTGTAACAAATTTGAGTTGGAAAATAAATAAAATTACGTGGATACTAAATCGATTTGTCCTAAACCCTATTGTGAACGAAATTGATTCATCGGTCTTTTTTTCTGATTTTAATTATTTTGAGCATAAACAAAATAATTTTTTCCATACATTTTGAGGAGTGATTAAAACTCATATAGTTAAGTAAAGTTGTGAAAATAGATTGTTTTAATGTTTGTAGATCAATAGGATTGTCCGGCATTATTGTTGATAGAGTTTCGTATCGCGATATCCATCTCATAACCCAATGTGAGGATGAATACCACGATATTAGACCCTATCGTTGTTTTGTACCGGGATTGTCTTAATTCATAAAGGGATTGTTTTAATTCATAAAGGGATTGTTTTAAATTATGATCTTTACCTAACGCAATTGAAGGATGAAAGATGAATGCAGTTTTAAATTGTAATCATTTAAATAGATTTGCCAATGAATGCAGTTTTAATACACTTAAATAGATTCGTCAATGGAAGAACCAATTAAACCTATCTCTGAAAATCCAAAGGCAAAAATGCAAGATTTTGAAACGTAAAGACCAAACAAATCTATAGCTAAAAGCTCAAGGACCAAAAGATACTTTTCCCTAAAAAAAATGTCATCAAGTTGAATGGTTCTATTATTTGTTCTTTTTGCAGTAAGTAGATAATATAATAAATATTAAAATCCAAGATAAATAAAAGGTAATCCAGATTTAATTTTTATAAATAAAACGTAGGGGCAGAATCATTATCAAATATAATCTTAATATTTACAACCTATGGTATAAAGCACAGCCTATTTTTCAACACCACCAAAAGGAGGGAAAAAAAAATAAAAAAAGAAATACACATCTCAGATTTCCCAACAAGAGCAATAACTTCATCTAATCTCTACCATCAAAACGTCGCCTGCCCAACACATGAGTTGAAAATTACAAGTATAATAATGTACAAAAATCAAGCTGTACAAAATGATCTCCAACTTTTGGTTGTGCTGATTTCGTTAAAAGTGCTTCAGACGAGAACGCTTGGGTAGTAAGCAAATAGCTTGAGCTTCCTCCACTCGGGCGTTATGGGCAACTACATTTTGAGCAACGCCCTTGCTGGATATCCTGTCAAGTCAAATCGTTATAATTAATTTAAAAGGAACATATATACAGATCAAAGATTTTTCTAGCTCAAATCAAATATTTTCTCAATAAAAACATCAAATTTGTGGGTTAAATGGGTCAAAACCATAAGCGAAATTCATTTTGTTATGTAAAAACATTTGTTTTTTTTCCCGTATAAAAAGCAAGTTTCAGCAAACTCATTTTAGAATAGAACTTTGAAGGTTAAAATTATGAAAGTCATAGTTGGAAGGATTAAAATGTAGGCAAAAAAAAGGAAAATATATAATTGCTCTTTAGCAATACTAGCACAAGTTAAACCATAGTAGGATAAATACAAAGAGAAAAAACCTGGCCATTACCATCTCATTCTTCATCCTCAAGATCAACAATCCTCAACTTTCTTCCAGTTGTAGCACTTGCTCGATACACACTAGGAGCCACTTCATCTTCCGAATCTACAAACTCATTATCGATCGCCTCTTGCATCAAATCATTCATACTGATGCCAGGTTCAGCATCCTTACCTTGAATTTCTGTGAAGTCAATCAAGCCAATTTCATCTTCTACCGGCACTTTACCAACCCCTATTGGTTCCAACCTACTGGCTTGATTGCTATCCTCCCTGGAACAGATAACTCTAGGTTAGCAGTCATATATATAGTACTTTTCTAAAGGGGTCTTCATATATCTTACTAAATAAACATTAAAACAATCTAATTTCACAACTTTTCCAAAGGGGTCTCAATCATCAAGTTACGAAAAATATGGCTAAATGACTTTTTGCTAGATTTTTCTTTTTAAGGAACCAAAGAATCTTTAAAGATATGGAGCTCTCCTTTTATGGGTCTTTTAATGCTATAGGTTCTTTTTTTTCTTATTACATGTAAATGATCTCCTATTTTCCATCACAATATCTTCTCCTCTTTTATCCAATTAGAGAGGCTTTGTGTAACTCTCTTGGGCTCAGGTCATTCCCCCTCTTTTATAATTTCATACCATCGATGAAATTGTTTTTTTATGAAAAAAAAAGTAAAAAAAGAAAAGGCATTTTGAAACACAATTACTGTGAAGAGGACTTTACCTTTGCGTAAACCTTTCTGTAGCTACACCTTCAGATTCCTCATCAATTAAGATACTCTGTGTTGAGATGGAACTGAGCTCCTCTGTTGACTTGGCAAGATGCTTCCTTTTTTTCCTATACTCAAAAGATTGGAATTGATAAATAGAAAGGAACACATTGGAGAAGAGAGTCAATTGAGTTGATAATTTCAAGTTTGCTCGCAATCTTGTATACTTTAATAACTACAAAAAATGAGCTTCATATCCTAGATATGAAGAGGATATTATAATAATAAAAGCCAACAAATAGGTGAGAAAAAATTTATGAGAGAGAGGATACAATTATAAAATGGCGATGACACTATTGTGAAATGATGCCTGAATTTCTCTCTGTCAGAAGTCTTTTAAGGTAGTTGAAAAACTTATGACTCCCATCTAAGGGCAGATTACAACCAACATAGTATTATCAAGCAAGATATGAGAACATCTAGATAGTGGATAATCAAGTATGCGAGCATGCTCACCTATTTATTAACGAGAGCAATGTTTCATCATCACTTCCAAATTCCTTATCAGTAACAGAACCATTGTGCTCCCCATCACTTGACCTCCTCCGATGAGAAATATGCAAACCCAACTGCTTGAGCTTTCGAGAAACTTGCGCAGAAGTGAATTTGTTACCAGCATCCAGCGCATTTGCAATCATAGAACTACATCTCTTATGATCTTTAAACCTGTTTCAGGAAGCACATTTGTTAAGAATATTTGAATTTCAAAAAAGCATTGGACTAAAATTTCACCGAGCAAACAGTCCAATTAAAAGCTTACTGCTCATATAGAGCTCTGATCTTCACTTCATGTTCTTTATCAAAAGCAAGAACTCTTTTTCTAGCGTGTCTATGTCATGGAAAAATAAAGGCAAAAAGGTCAGTCATGACATATAACTTAAAAGTTAAACATTGTACAAACATTGAAGTGCCCATCAGAGACATAAAAGAAATTAAACCACAAAATCTTCAGACGAAATGGTTAAAAACCTTCATCTACACATTCTATCATGAAAGCAAATAAAGGTCAAATACGTACGAAGGTTGACTCAATGAACTTTCCCCCAAAATATTTGAGTTGAGTGAACTATTTCTTTCTACCCCATTGCTTTCTCCCTCAAGGTTTTTGGAGATAGAAGAAAAGGCTTCATCTGCATATTGCCTCTTCTTTCTTTGAGTAACTTTTAACCCCATCTGTCTAAGCTTATTGGAAACTTGTGCAGGCGAAACTTTGACATCAGTATCAAGATTCTCCGCGATAAGTCTGCTACAATTCCTGTCCTCCTTGAATCTGACAAATATATTTCCAGTAACTCAGTACAAACGATTGAAAAAGTTGTTGGATAGAATAACTGAATTCACTTCCATGAGTAAATGAATTGGATCCAGTAAATCTTTTAACGGGGGAATCCAAAAAAATTGTGCAATGTGCAATCAATTACCAGGGTCGTTGCTCAATAAGTATCAAGGGGAAGGGTTATTACAATAACACTGCATTATAAGAAAATACAAGCGAAATCGATGCATACTTCTCATAAAGATCTTTAATTTTAGTCCCCAGTGCAGCGTCAAGAACAAGTCTCTTTCTTTTAGGAAGCCTTTTGGATTGATCATCCATAGACAGCTCACTGCAATAAATCACCAAAAAGTTCAGAAAAAAAAGCACCTTGAACAGTTAATAGTTGTAAATTTTAACGTACTTTTCATTGTGTTCTTTCCCTTCTATCTCATCATCCAAGGTGGTAGACTCAAGGCCTCTCTCAACTTCGTCAGACTTTGCTTCACTGTCAAATATGAAATAGATGATCTTTACTATCACATAATTTTTTGGGTAAAAAGGCCAGCTTACAATAAAGACATTTTGTATCAAAGAATTCTTTCGTGAGTTACCATTCAATAAATATCTTCTATCATTTGATTCATTTTAAATAACTTATGAAGACCTAGTAAACTGAAAATATCACGATTTACAATCTTTATGCTGATGGTATCAGATTCTACATTGATTTGCCTTATCATCTACTTTGATTCCAAAACAAGATTGTCAAAAAGTAAATAGGTCGAATATTTCGTTCAGATTCAAGTCTTACGCATGAAATCCAAAATCATTGGAGGGAATCACAACATCAGCTTCATCTTCACCAAGTGCATCCGCTATGCTTCTAGGAGTCCAATGCTTGCCCATCAACGAGCTATTTTCATCACCCCCGGTAAAATTTTCCTCTCTACTTCCTTTCTTCCAACAACCAAGCTCATGCACTAAGTACTCGGCATCAATGTAATGGCATTCTTTTCGGGTCTTCCAAAAGAGAACTTCCACAAAAAGAAGTGGCTGGTTCTTTATCTTCCTTAGCATCTTTCTCACCAAAATTGTTAGGAAATCAACCATATTAGCGTGTTCCTTGCATGGACTTGACTTCTGTTCAGATAGAATGTCATAAAATGTGGGAAGGAGAGATAACTGCAAAATGAATAGAGATTAGGCTTGTATGTATAAAATCTCTAAAATAGTGGTTCAACAAAAGTCATCGATAAAATGTTGACCTGGTACAACATTGGAGAAAGCTCCAAATCCTCGGTGATCCTCCGTAACATACATATTATGTAATGGTTTGTGTTAGTAGAATTGCTCTTGTAAAACTTAAGCAACCAGCATATTTTCTGAATAATGTTGTTGTTGGCGAAAGTAGATACTAGACTTGATACTTTTAGATCAACCTCCACAGTTGTATTTTGCTGCTCATCACTAGAAGAATCGGCTGTGCTATAACCATCATTCAATTTTTTGTTCTCCATCTGTGACGAACTGCCTTCAAAACTTCCCATGTTTAAGTCCAGCAGTATCGGTTTATCGGCTTTATCAATAACAGAAGTCTCTTCCTTATTACCAGAACTTGCATTTAAGCTACTATTCTCACCAATAATGGTATAGGTCGGTTGCTCAATATGGGTTATGGCAGTCTTATTCTCAGCTCCCTGATCTTCTGACTGCTTGTTATCCCTATTATTTGCTGACTTTGCCTTTCTTCCTCTCCTTGATCTTTTAGAAACCTTTATACAAGAATTTCTTTTTAACATAAACCTCCAAAGAAACAATTATTTTGATACATATTTGAACAGACATGCAAGAGCACAAATTAATAATTTTCAGTTCTACGAGATTTGACTTCGTAGATACAGAAACACAATGCCAGGGAAGAGAGACCAATTAAATATGTGAATAGAGCTCTGGTTAGGGAAGCTCAAGCAATTAATATTTAATAAAATGAACAAAAGTGCCTATGCTATAACAATCACAATATTATACAAATAAGATTTTTATAAACACGTGAAAGTAGTCTCCAATAGTCCAATAAACTTCCTTTTGTACTATTAACCTACTTTACTGGTAACCTTGCAACCACAAAAAGTTGCAAAAGAGTAAATTAAATGCCATGACATAATGCTTGACTGAAAGAACACCTACACAATGGAATAATAGAAATCCTTTTCAAACAACAGCAATTACCAGAAATATAAAATCAATGACTACCCAAACTGGTACTTGCATTAGCAGTATGCCCTGTGAGAAAAGAGGACAGTCTACTTTTTTTTCCTTTTATTGAGAAGGTACTGTGCTTTCGTAGAGAAAAAAAAAATGGATGAATACATGGGACATACAAAAAGACATCTAGCACAAGGAGCCGAGCTAAAACAAAAGGGACAACAAAACCCATACCGAATAAAAGCAAATAAACAATTTAAGAATTATTAGTCAATATTAGAGTATTACCCTAAGTGTTCCACGAGCTTGGAGGTTCTCCATGAGCTGTACGACTTTATAGATCATCTCAACTAAATCTGCAAGATCACTGACCAGTGGAACTCATAAATACATGTGAAAAGAAATTACATCCATTTCTTAAATAAAAAACAAGGGAAACGTACAACAAAAACCTTTAACCCTCCCTTTAGGAGTTTAACCTGAATTTAAATTCATCACAAAGCCAGTGTAATAACAAAAAGACGAGAAAGTGAATACCAAGACAAAAACTTAATCCAAGACCTTTGTAGCTCAATTTAAGTGAACAATTTAGACCTTTGTAACTATTATTTTGTAGGATTCACTTTAGCCCAATCTAGAACAATTTAGCTATACGTTGTGGCTCAATCTAGGATTCACTTTCCCCGTTGTGGCTCAATCCAAGACCTTTCACCGATATGCAATATGAAGAAAGACATGATTTGACACCAACCCAATATTCTGGAAGTGGCATCTAGGAATGGAATATAGATGGCATGACAGAACACAAATGCTATGGATGAAATGACCTTAGAAGCTATTACCTATAAAGTTAACCAAAACACTGACCGGCATATTGCTAAAATTTTAGTTCCAGGGTTTACTAGACAACTCAAAGGATGGTGGGGTGATTATGTATCTCAAGAAGATAAATTAAGAATATTAAGTGCAATTAAAATTGAACAAGATGGCACAGAACTTTGTTACAACTTTAGTATATACTATTGCTAAAAGTTCTATAGGCAAGCCTACTAGATTTCAAGTGAAGAAAAGGAAAAGAATCGCTCCACATGAAATAGAGAATGAGCTGTAATCTTCAATGTAACTAGAGAATTAGCTTCTCTAGTTGCAGTGTAAAGCTATTTATCACTGATTACACTACAGCATCATGCCAATCTTGAAAAGAAAGAAGAAAACGTTAGGCATCCTTTTGAACGAAATTATGAAGGAAGCCAGGTCAAGCTTCTTAGGCATGTAAACTGAAAAAAGACAATAAAAAGAATGAGAAATAACCATGGAAAATTTGAGATACCAAATATACATCCTATAAAGACGTATTCTTCATTCCTCTTTATTTCATACATTGTACACCCAAACAAACTCAGACACCTTAATACCTTATGCATTTAATAATTATTGAGATTATGCATTGGACTTTCTGGTGACAAGTTGCATTTACAAATAGCAAATTTGTCACAACATGACTCAAAACTGAGAACATATGAACGCACATATGCCTAGATGGGAAAGCAACATCTTGGATCCATGTAAAGGAAAATACCTTTTAGGTTGTTTGTGAGTGTTGAATGACTTGAGCAAATTTAAGAGGAATTGAGTCATCCCTTGATCTGTCTGATCATAAAATAATTTGTAAAGTAGAATACGAGCTGTTTGAGGTTCCTTTGAATCTTCTGGTAATAATTTTAGCACCAAATCTAGCATGCAGATCTGTACAAGGAAAACTCTTCATTATGCTGATGTGACATGACTTCCTGATTGCAAAAAATATTTTTTTCTTCAATTTGAAAATAAAATAAAAAGTTTAGTCTACTATATAATCAGAAAAGTGTAAGATCTTCTAAATTCATGCAAGTAATATTTTCTTTTAAATAAATCTTAAACTAAAACTTCCAAAGTCCAGAAAATCACTGAGAACTTGCCACTGCCCCAATCATAAAAATGTGTGTATCATTTTTATGATCCCTAACGTAAAATTTCTGATTTAATATTATTTTTATTTTTTTTTGAGGGGGGACCAAATTTATAAAATTTCACCCTTCTTTAGAATGTTTGAAATATTCAAAACTATGCTTTGGGCACCATGTTATCAAATAATCCCATTACATGTCTGCCTACAATGTCCAATCATATCCTTACTCATAACTTGGGCTCAGTGTCATCAAATAATCCCAATACATGCCTGCTTAGGATGTCCAAGCATATCATACTCATTAAATGGGGTGCCATTGTTCTCAAATAATCCTAATTCGTGTCTGCCTACAATTTCCGCGCATATCCAATTCATACACAACCATAGGATACATATACATATACACATGCACATGACATGTTGGATGCCTATAGGTACAAAAAACCTTTAGAACCCAGCTACCGAAGATGCTTTATATATATATATATATATATATATATATATATATAAATACATGCATACATACATACATATACATATATAAACCATCAATTTTCAGTATAAGGACCTACAGAAGTAGATGATAAACCAAGCCAAGAGGATTACAAAAAGTTCCAGTAGCTTGTATTAGTCAAAAAATTATTGAGGACTTGTGTTAAAAGAGTCAAGCAACGATCCCAAATTTCAAATTATGTTGAACGTGCAGAGTTGAAAATTTTCTAGGTATGAAAGTCATTTTTGACAAAGCACTTCCCATTATGCTTGAGTAAAGAAATATCAGAGACAGAGATAAGATCACAGATAAGGCCAAACTGGATAGCTTTAAGCTTCTTGACTGGACAAGATAAGTAAAATAGACAGAAAAGTTATGGATTAGTGACAAAGAAGCAATCACCATATTTTTCATCAGACAGCCAGCTGCAGACAGAAACTTAAAATCACTTGTTTCCTTTAAGCCTTCAAATGCATAACGCCATTTTGTAACAACTAACTGAAACATTGCCTCGTTCATTGTAGCTGCTATTGGGCCGCACATGTTACCTTGGAAAAATGTGGAATCGACATGTTCCGTTTGATCCTCACTGGTATCAGCTTCAATTAACTGTAGCCAAGGAAAACAAGGGTTCTCCTCCAAGATTAATTTAGTTGAAATATAGTTACAGTCTCCAACCCTAAACGACCAACCTCAAAGAAGAATAACTCAAGCAAGATTAGCAAGAAAGAATTACATAAAAGTGTTCAACACAGTTCAGAGCAGAAGACCACGGCAGGCAAGAATATCACAAAAAAGAAAATTGAGTCCAGTGATACTAAAAAAAATCCAAATAGAGAATAGTGCATTAAGGCTGATACATATAAGCCTTCATAAATGACCTGTTATATGAATAAGGGAAAATAAAAAACAAAGGATAACACATCGAGCTGTTATGCACAAATGGCACAAATAATCATTTACAACAACTTAAAAACGTAATACTGAGAATGTAAAACTAGTAAAAGATAATGAACGAACTACAGTGGAGAGGATGAAACCAATTGATACGTATGTAAGCCATAGGCATCCAAGACAACTAAAGATAGCAAAATTTTAAAAATTCAATTCTCACCTTTGAAGTTGAAAACTTGTGATACTGAAAAGAAATAGCAAACTGTGCGACCTCAAAGAAAACAACCACATCGTTGTTTTGGATAGAATGATGTTCCTTTTCAATATCTTCATAAACCAACTGCATCAGAGCTGAAAACCATCAGAGTAGTTAGGATTCTGCATCCTGGTGAAATATAAGTCAATGAGTCCACTCAAAAAAGGAACTTAGTGACAACAGCAATTCCTGATACAAACCATTGTAGCCGCCTGAAAGAAACTGGTTGATAAAATTATGAAGCAACTGCATAAGTTTGCTATTTTTTGATGTTAATCTTCCATGGTCCCATGCAATTTTTTTAATTGGACCTCGACAAACTTTAGGTGGTTTAAGGCTGTTACAAGAAGTCAAAGATGGCTTTCCTTTGAGTACTAACTTTGAACCATCCTGCCAGGAAAAATTCCATAATTAGTCAAGCCCTAAGATAAAGCCCTGACAAGCATTAGCAGCAACAACACTTTGTACCAAGGTATGCCGCGTAAAAGTTCCACTGAACTGCGAATGGCGGTTCGTATTGTGTAGTCTAGAGAGCTTTCTTCTATCTTCCTCCATCATAGACTTCAGACTATTGACAGAAGATACCGTTTCTACATTTTCCTGATATTTAACCAAATTTTAGTTAGAACAACAGAATACGGGCATTAACCAACAGGGTCAAAGATGATATGAAAGCCAGAAGTGTCAAAATGTTGGTCATTACCAATATTTTCATTTTTTACATCAAACTGCAAGTCACAATAGTTAGACCAAAGTAACTTAATTGTATATTAGCAGATAGGCAAGAGGCAGCTTTATCTTACTGTAAATTCTTGACCGGCTAGCTGCAATTTACTCTCATACACAGGAATAATAGAAGAGATTAAGAGAAGTAAATTAACCTCATTGCTGTTTTGAGGTACTTTTGCAATTAACTCCGGCTCTTGGCCCATAAATATGAAATAAAATATTTCCAGAAAGAGTAATTTGTCTTGACGGAGATGGCTGCAAGAACCATCAATGTGTTGCGTTATCACCAATATGATGTCCATTACATTCTCCCGGAATAAAACTTCCAGAAATTTGTCTCTCAGCAATATTAACTGACAAGCTGACCCATCAGCCTTTTGCTGCAATGAGATTTCTTGAATAGCCAAAACATTTCGGAAGAGTGTTATAACCAGCTGCATCAATTTCCAGTCATCTTCTGAGAATGTTCCACTGTTTTTAGAGGACAATTCATAACCCAATCAACGGAAAGCAATATTAAAAACGAGCAGTCTGAAGTACAATAAAAGTTATGGTATAGCTGCCAATGGATATAAAGCCATAATAACAAGCAACTATAACTAGATCTATTCAGTTGACAAACAGCAGGAGACTATAATAATACGAAATAGTATCCAGGTATAGCTAAGCCCCAAAAGTACTATTTAAAGATAAACAAGTTTTGTGAAACACTATTTTATATATTCATTAAATATGTGCCATTAAGGTAGTTTAGTAATAGAGAATGTGAAAGAACCAAATATGTGCCATTAACTAGATCTATTCAGTTTAGCCTTGATTAATCCTGATTGGAGAGCCGTTCAGTATAGACTCCGAGTTTGTCATAAAAAAAGAATGTGAAGGTTCAAATACGAACTCTTAACTTCGTCAGCAAGCCCATAGAGAATTCAGATTGAAGGAATCAAAAACAACTTGAATGTGATCACGTTGAATGAAAGTAAGATAGGTTTTCTAAATGTGAAAGAAAAATGATTGAAAGAAATAGAACTATAACATAACTGCCAAGCTTCCTGGCGTGAAGGACCGAGTCACCATACAATTTTCTATTTTCTAGCTAAATGGAATTAAACGCTGAAGATTTGAAGTCCCGCTCACCAATCCAGATTTTCCAGCGGACTCTCTAAAAGTGAAACAATTATAGCAGTCACAGTACTGCAAGTGATTAAAGACTTCAAGCCCCATAAATACTCAATCTGTTGAGCAATGTCACTTGACGTGGGATCAACAGGCATTGTGAGGAACACCAGAATCTTCACTGAAGAATTGAAGAAAATATGAGAATTTTCTACCAGATAATTGGTAAGACATTCACTTTAAGAAGAAGAAAAAAAACACTACCTGCATTTAGAACTACATTGCGATCATCTTGACAGTATTCAATAATGGGTATCAGATCTTTAGCCACAATGTTCCATTTACAAACTTGCTTAAAAACATCGCGAGTCTGCGGGTCATCGCGCCTCAAGAACCTTAGTAAATCCTTTAAATTATCTGAAAAGAGAGAGCGAGAGAGAGAGAGAGAGAGAGAGAGAGAGAGAGAGAGAGAGAGAGAGATCGCATTAATCAACAAGTGGCTGTAAAATTTTTCAATTGGACGAAATTTGAGCTTCTTCTCCTCAAGTTTTCTTCAGACCCAGACAGAACAAACTAGAGACATGAATTGGCGTACCTAAACAGTACTCGCTCTTGGAGTAACCGATCCGATTACCGTAGTCATCCTCTTCGACGATTCCGAGACCAGCACAGATAACACATAGCCCATCTATCTCCATCTCCTAAGGAACAGTGCACTGCAATGGGATTTCAAGCATAGAAGCTTTCAAATGTAATAGATAATTCGATCAAATGGAAACTTCAGAGTGAGCTTGATGTGGAAGTGAAAACTCCGAGTTTTAGGGTTTCTGTGGCGCCAATCTGGTTTGTGAATTTTCCCGCGCAATTAGAACGCTATTGTTTGGGTGCATCCGGAAGTTTCTGCAACCTAATGACGTGGCGTAATGTGATTGGGTTAGACTTAAAATCCACAAAATATTTTCTTAAAGAGATTTCCGAAGTACTTATTAGTCATTTATGCTAAATACTATTTAGTAAATCGTAAATATACTGGATGTGGATGGTGTGCCTATTTTTTAAGATTTCTTTTTAATTTCATCCTTTATTTTTTTTAATTTCTCAATTTTTTTCCTACTGTATTAAAATTTATCAATGAGCTCATTTCGTAAACAACATTATTAAAATTTGTTAATAAAAACTAAAGCTAGTGACGTTAAATTGTTGTTGGTTTTATTTAGAGCACAAAATTGATCCAGTCGATTGAAATTAAGAGTAGTTCGATTTCAGTTCGAAATGACAACTATTTCCTATCATTGAAAATCAATATTTCAAAAAAAATTAATATTTAATGATGTACATATAATGACAAAAACAATGACACTCGAGATGATAAGTACATTTAATGACTATACTGACACCTATAATAATGATGGACATTGACGATCGAATTAAAGAGAAACAAAAACATTCAAACACAAGGTCGGACGTTTAACTGTCATTGTCACTCTTTAATTGCCCAACATTAGAAATAAAATTTGTTCTATTGTAAACTTCATCTTGATGTCAAGTTTGTGGCAGTGGTTTGGTGTTATCTATTTGATTCTTGATGGAAAATCTTTACTTAAATACAAGTTGAGTCTAGTTTAGTTTTTGAAGTTTAAGTTTATCTCTCATAGTTTTTTAACCTTTTAATTTTGTATCTAATAGATATCTAAACTTAAAAAATAGTTTTAATATGTTTTAAATTATTTAATTTTGTATAAAATAGGTCTTCAAACTCTTAATTTTGTGTTTATTAAATCCTTTGACTTATTTATGACTTTTTTGTTTTTAATTCACAGACAGACAAAAAAAAAAGAAGTTTAGGATCCCACTAGACCGATAAATTCAATTTTATATCTAATAATTAGTTAATTAAAATTAAGTAGATTAAGAATCTACTAGACATCAAATTTAAAGTTCAATGATCTATTACACACTTTTAAAGTTTAGATATCTATTAATAAACACAAAATTGAATATTTACGGAATTGTTAGATACTTTTTAAAGTTGATGGATTTACTGTATTACATAAACTTGTCTACAATAAATTTCGCTCAACTGTATTGCACCTATCTCCAACCACAAGGTTGGTCTTGTCCCGATTTTTGTAATTAAAACCAACCAACCGAATAGATGCTAAGAAAAAAAAGTTAATAAATAAAGTCAACCCAAATTGAAAAGGTCTAACTAAATGGATCAAGAAACACGAACTTAAATATTGGTGAAATACTTCCATATGTTTAACTATATGTCAATTATCTATGAACTACGCTTATTTTGGCACACTGATGTGAAATCTAATTAGTGTCCAAACATAATACATGATATCATATATTATACATATATTTGTTCAATACTTTATGTCGCTAATCCGTGGTGGACAGAGCTAACAGGTGACGATAAAGGTATCTCCACATTTCGAACCTCGGGAGAGGAGGATGTTGATCGAGCTTTTCTCGTTTTTATCTCGATAATAGTTTCTTCTATCTACTAAATCACATGTATTACAATAATAATAATAATAATTATTATTATTATTATTATTATTATTTTAAACCCAAAAGAGGCGAAGAAAATTGAACCAACAATGGATAGAACTATGATAATTCTACTCAATATATAAAATAAAATTTTATATATTGAGTCACATGAATTAAAATATGAAAATGTAACACTAAAAAAAAGGGCTCAAGAAACCCCATTTCTTATTTTTTACTTAATAATGGCTCCGAAGACTTTATGATTATTCAGAGGCTGCCTTTAATGGCGTCACTATACCCATTATCAAATGCCTTGCTCCACAGCATAACTCCTCCATATTTGGGAGAACTTTTAATCGCCGGAAGAACTTGAGAAATCAGCACATCCGCCGGAATAAAGCCGCCGGAAGGAGCAGCCTCAGGCGCCGCCGGCAGCCCCATGAAGAGGCTCCCCGCCGGAAACGTTGTCCACTGGTTCCAAGAATTCAGGAGGCTGTCCGCGTTGCCATTGGCGAACATGCACGACGGATTGTTGTAGAATTGAACCCAAACCAAATCGAACAACCCGGTTCTCACCGCCGCGTCCAGGTGGGCATCGGGGATCGGGCACTGGGGGGCCGCGGAGAGAACAACCTGGCCGAAGCTCTTCAGCTGGCGGGCAAGTTCGTCCCAGAACTGCCCGGAGCCGGACTCGATGTCGAAGTCAATGCCATCCAAAACAGCATCGCCGAGGGGGCGGGAGCTGGACTGTCCGCCCAGGAAGTTGTTCCAAAGGAACTCAGCGACTTGTCTAGCGTCATCCGCTGTCAAGAAATTCATAAACCATTAAATTTATCCTAACTTATCAACCTAAATTTTTTTTCTAGTTAATAATTCACAAGTTAATATACGCTGGTTAGACAGGGATCATGTATTCAAACTTATGTATTTTATGTTATTTGGAAGAGAATGCTAAAAATATTCCTAAATGATTAAATTTATCCAAACCTGAAGAGAGGGAGTAGCTTCCAACGGCTCCGCCGATGGAGAGAAGGACTCTGATGTTTTTAGATTGGCAGGATCTGATTTCGTTGCTTAAGAAGGTGCAGCCGTTGTTGTCGGGATTGCAGTGGCCGGCGAGGTTGAGGACCGGAGTCTGGCCGCCGCCGAAGGTAGTGAGAAATGCAAGGTTAACGAATTGGTAGTTTCCGGTGTCACAGGTGGAAGCGAGAGAGCCTTCACCGCCGTTTTGGCCCCAGTAGACGGCGATTCCGGCAGCATCGGAAGAGCGTAAAACGGMGGCGAGGAGGAAGAGAAGGGAGAGGGCCGAGGCTAGTCTGTAGGCTGCAGCCATTTCTGATGAGCTTTAGTTTTTTTGGGCGTGTTTGATCAGTAATGGAGAAGATGAAGTGAATTTATRGGCAGGGAAGCACATCACATGGCTTGACCAAGTCAAGGAAAAAAACTGGATRATACAAATCTTAGCCACTAGTCTCTTGACATGTGTCATAGAGAATTGGAAAAAATATATATTACATGCTAATTAATTGACGTGTTCTAGTTAAAGAGGAAAATAAATTATTTAATTGGCTAGAATTCTAGTCTATGTCTAACTTACTCTATACGATCATTATTTGTAGTCAAATTAACATTTTAGAAGTTATCGCATTTGGCTAATCCGAACATAAGTGGGTAAGGACAATACTACGTTAGATCTCTTTATTAAACTGATTTTTTTTGTTATATTTGATCAATCAATATATAGCTTTGTGCATAAGATATTGGCCTGTTACTATATTTCAAATGTGATTGGATCGTATACATCCTTGTAATTGTTGAACTAAAAAAATAAAAGCTATAATGTTCAGACTTTTATAGGATTTTTGCTCTTATAAAAAGATAACATGTCTTTTGTTGAAACTCATATTTAATTAGAGTCAACTCTAGCTCACTCGAAAATTATAACATTATTTCTTTCTCTTGATAGTTTACTTCAACTTGAACTTTAAAACTCTCTTCGATCCGTGCATTGGTCAATCCAAAAACTCAAATTTATCCAATAATGTTTAGGATATAGAAGATTTGAATCTACCATATTTTAGAACAAGAGAAATGTCTTAACTCAGGATCAAATTTATTCATGTATTAACTTGTGAAATGGTGAGCTGATCCAGACCATAGGATTCTTATCTTCTCGAATTTGATCTCATTTCATGTTTATCCCTCCATCCATTTTTTTTTACATTAGATCAAACAAATCATCCATAAATAAAGATATTTATAATTATTTAAAGTACACATTATTCGAACCATCCACGCTTGATTTTGAATCTTAGAGTCGTTTCTACAAACACACACATTGTGGTATAATTTCTTATTTTACAAATCATGGCATGGACGATGAATTATTATTTAGCATTCAATATTTCCACAAACACACATAGGAAAATTAAAAAAGTAGATATAGGAAAATTATATTTAGATTATCATCCTAGGTTTTACTTTAAAATTATGTTTAAATATTATTCTCTCTAATTTTAGTTTTTATTCATTTTGATACATATATTTTCAAAATATCTATTTTGGTCCATATGTTTATTTATTTAGTTCCTATACTTTTGAAATGTTTCATTTTGTTTATCGTACTTTTAAAAAATGACCATTTCGATCCATTTATTTTTATTTTATCTCGTGTTTTCAACTATAATTTTAGCATAACAATTCACTCACCAAATTTTTTAAAATGTAGTCATAAGTTTATATTAAAAGATTTCATTTATGTTAAAATTTTACCCCTAGGATTTAAAATGGTAACTTTTYTAAAAGATGAGAAATAAAATGAACGTTTTAAAAAGTATGAATAAAATAAATAAAAATAAAAATTGATATTTTGTAAAAGTACATGAATCAAGATAAGGTGTGTAAAATTTACTCAATTTTAGAAAGAAACAAAGAAATAAAAAACTATAGGCTGCCAAACAAGTCTTGGCGTCAATGAGAAGAGTTGACCAAATAATATAATTGTGATTGTGACCAAACTGCCCCGCCTTCTCTCATTGGAAACTGAAAAATATTAAAAATTAGTTATAAATTATAATTTGACCTGTTCTACAGAAAATATTAAAGATTAGGTATTATTTGACATATTTTTTTAAAAAAAACTTCAATCATTAAGTGATAATAATCATATTGTTTAAAATATTGATTTTTGAATTGTTATCAACTTTGATTTAATTATTGGCCTATTGCCTGTTAAGTTAAAAACTTAAAAAAGACTAAATATATGTGTCCTTATGTTTTTGGTGTTTTTCTAACCATTTTTTTATTATTGAAATTAACAATTTTCAATGCTACCTTTCTCTATTATAATAAATTTTATCGTTATTTAAAAGATGATGTAATACAAATTGGACTGATGATTTGATGATTTAATGGAGTAACGTGTAATATAAGAAAGTAGATTAGTTAGATAAAATAAAAGTGGACAGATAAAAAAATTAATTTAAAATATACTGTCTTCATGTGCAATTATTATTATTATTATTATTATTATTATGATAAGGTGTATTCTATCCGGAATACTCTCTCATGCCAACATCGTGGTAAATTATCATTTGTTAATAGACGTATCAAATCATTATTTAAATAATGATGTTAATAACATACGCTTATTAAAATAAGAATTGATAAAATTTAGAGATTTAATTTCAGGTTTAATAACACTGACCATATAAAAATTAAGCAACTAAATCAACAAAATTTAACCTAATAGATAATACTTCAGTCCAAAACCATATCTAAAGTAGCTATTTTTAGTTTTCAATTTATTGACATGTTTTTCAATTTTATGAACCTAGTTGTCGCTGATGGATAAAAAAAACATATTTGTGATTAAGTTATACATCTCCTTGAATTTTGAATTATATATATTTTTTTATCTATATCATTAACCTCAGTTAACGACGTGTAGATAAGATTAGATAACGTATTGATCTTCATAATGGATTTAGGGAAACGTTTTCGAGAAATTTGAGATGTTGCAAGCAACCAAGAGACATTATTGCTTAGCAACCAAGACATGAACATTGACAAAGAAAACTAAGCAAGTCAAGTTGAATAAGCTCACACGTTAGTTTTTGAAGGGAAAAAGGAGGCTGCCCAAAGTTCCCAACCAACAAATTCCAAACAAATATACCAATTAATCTTAAAATATTCAAACCAAAGAGGGAAAAAACCTCTTGAGTATTCAAATCAAATAGGATGATAATCTTTAATTTTTGCATTAAATATGAAACCTATAATTGACTTCAAAATTCCATTGATATGAAAGAGAAAACAATGTTTAATATTTAATAAATGAAAAAAAAAAAACAGTGCTTCTTAAAAAGAATTCCTCCCCTCATTGATACCGATAGTTTTATTATTAGTTGCGTCATGTACTAATTTTCAAGCTTATAAGTGAGGGAAAAAATATTAAGAATATATAATAAAAAACTAGAAAATTATTATCATTCATGCTAAAAAAAATAGGTTATATGCGAGAACTAAAAAAATATAATGAAATAAAAGATTTATCAAAATATAATTTTCTCAAAAATTTGTTCTGAAAAAACAGAAAATAATAATTATATAAATGAGCCTAAATAATGTAGGGACTGAAATGTCATTGAGAGGAAGTTTCCTTAGGGTAAGGTACATTTAATAAATATGAAGGTCCCTAGCAACTAAGTTTTGATGGAGAAAAAGAATTCAGTCCTGCCAAAATTTCCAAAGCAGAGAATGGAATGATGTACCCATTAATCATAAAGATTTCAAACCAAATAGTGAAAAAGAAAGACCTTGAATATTCAAAGTAAATATAATAGGATTTTACAATAATGTCTTTGGTTTAGGTTATATGAATAATCATTAAAATCTCTATATAACATCGTGCCAACTACATTTATGACGTGGATCCACCACTCATATATACAACATATATACAACTATTACTTTTTTCCTACAGGAAATCTACGTTTAAGTATTAAGTATTCTATGGGTAAGGTAGAAGAAATTCTTCCCATGACCAGGAACGGATCCACGCGTAGAGAGTGGGACACGTGCCCCTTAATTTAATTATATATAGTATACATTTTCATAATAAAAATTGTAATTGCCCTCTTGGCTTCCTTCCATCAATTAATACTCCAATCTCATGTTTAAAACAAACGCTAAAATATTTTTGAAACAAAGCTTAAATTATAAGGGACTAGGATGTCGTTATCTACAAAATAATAATAATAATAATAATAATAATAATAATAAAAGAGACATATGGCCAAGAGAGGAAGTTGCCTAGGTTTAGGTATATACATATAATGTGTGAAAATGGCTATTAGGCCATTAACTTTTTGAAAAGAAAACTAAAGTATAAAAGACTCAACCAAGTCAAGTTAAAAACACCCCACTCCACAAGTTATGAAGCAAAAAATAGAATTCATGCTGAAGTTTCCAATAAAGAAATTGGATCTACTCTCGTTTTCGACTGCTCACCATCTATCTCCGTTTCTTTCAAACCAAAGAGCAAAAGAAGACACAGATAACAATATTTAATATTTAAGTGTTCACTGCTCAACATCTATCTCTATACTGATCACTATGAAAAGAATTGATAGTTTGGTTAGTTTTTGCCAACTTGTTCAAAGTAAATAGGTTGCTATATTCTCTTAATTATGTTACATGAATAATCATTAATACTCGTTTAGTAACGTTTCTATTTTTTTTTATTGTTTCATGTTTCCTTTTTTAATAAATAAAGACAAAAATGTATTTCACTATTATTTCTTGTTTCTTGTTTTCTTTTTATAATAAAAAAATATAAACATGTTTGGTCGACCATTTTTTGTTTCTCATTCTCTATAATTTTAAATTAAAATGATAAAAAAATTTATATGAAATTAACTATTCAAAAATTTTAATGTTATATTTATCTTTAATATTTATTATAAATTTTATAAGTGAATAATGATAAAATAATGCTTTTATTTATGTTTAGGAAAAAAACTAGAAATGAAAATTGGAAGGAAGGAAAAAAAAACTTGATTTTGTGTTTCCAAAATTTTTACACAATTTTAGAAATATTTCTTAAAAATGAGAAACGAATACAGTTACCAAATCTTTATATAATTTCTCAAAAACTAGAAAGAAGAAATAGAAATGAGAACATTATCAAACTAATTTACCGTGACATCATTCATTTTTTAATATTATTAAAAATATAACTATTTACTAAAATATTATAACCTCCTAATTATTCTTAAAAATAATGCTATTTTATATCCTTCGCTCGTACATCGATGACTTATGCCAATACAACACGAGGTCGCGATGTCCTTAAGTGTGTCTTTTCA